ATATATATTCACTTTTTAACTGTTTAAAAGTTATCTGCAATTTTTTCTGGTTAAGTGTAAAGAAAAAGTAAAAATGTAGCGAAAAGATGGAGCTGAGAAGGAAACATACAATAGGCAAAATTTTAAAAAGAAGTAAACTAAACAAGTAGACGGTGAAAATGACTAGAAGGCGTTAGTCGGTAACTAAAACTTTATTCTCTTTCTTTAGATTTTTCATTATGGCTTCAATAACGTTCTTAGAATTTAAATGTGTCAAGATATAAAGCTTCTTATAGTTTTTATATTCAATATGAGTATTTCTAATGTTTATTTTTTTCTATTTTTTTGCATGATCTTAACTAGGTCTTAGATTTTGCACAGTCTGTACTGCACACGAAACTTGTTCATAACAATACCAGTTACTTAATTAACAAATTTTTTTTTGGGGAACTGAACAGTAACCAGGAAGCCTTAGCAGAGTTAAATAGTAAAAAAAGTGTTTTTTTCAGGATGACACTGTTGGTGACAATTGAAACCGTACTCTGTGTATTGTTACCGTTTGCATTTCGGCATTATTGTACCCGAAAGCTTAGTGTGGTGCTACTAATTTCGTCTTTTTTAATTAGTTCTGGTGTACATCTGACATTTATTTTTACGCACGTCGTAGAGGCTTCACCGGCGTTCTTAGAATTTAAATTTGATTCTGTGCCATGCTATTGGTTTGTAAAAGCCTATAGTATGCATATTATTAACGATCAAGCTTATAAGCTTTATGAAAAACTTTATTATTGGACACAAATGGCTCTATCTATAGTGCTTCCGACAGTAACTATGCTTATTTGCTCTATATTAGTCATAACCAGGTTTACATTTAAGGTAACAGTACTCAAAGGTTTTTTTAACTAAAAAAAAAAAAAAAGCCAAAATAAAGGTATTTGGTAGTTCCACCAAGGAAGTAAAAAATGTGTTCTAAGAAAATTCTTAGCGATTTAATTATAAGCCAAAAGTTCCTGTTTTATAATTTTTATAATTATAAAATTTATTATTATTATTATTAATTTTTTTTTGATTTATAACTAAAGCTTAGCTTAATTTAATTTATTTATTTGATTATAGGAACTTGGTAAATCATTCAGTCAACGTCGTAGATGTGTAATTATGATGACCGTTTCAACGACCATGTCCCATTTATTACTGGAAGGTCCGGCATCGCTCACATTTGGAATTGCTGCCATTAAAGGTAGGTTTTTTCATCAACTTTATACTTTTTAAAAACTTAAAATTATCTACTGTTTTTGGTGAATAAAATTTGCTACTCAAATTTAATTGAAGTACTTAATATGGGTTTATATATATATAACCTTTTTTTTTCTTACAAGTAGAATGAAACAGTAATTACGATGATTTTTTTTTAGGTACGGGTGATATGAAGATTAATTCGACAATGTGTATGATAAATCACAGTAACAATTTGTTGTCAATTATTAATGCAACAATACCATTTTTTGTATATTTAATTTGTAATAAGCAATTTCGTTGTATGGCATCAGTATTTATTACTGCAATGTGCAGTACAAATCCGTCACATAAAAGGATTCTGTTGGCACAGGCATGTGCACGAACTCGTTCAATTACCACAAGACGAACGGAACGGAAGACTTCATTGGTACAATTAACTTATCGATCCTAATTTTTTTTTTTTTTTTTTTTGTATAAACCTTTATCTTTGTATTTTTGTGGGTGTGTGTGTGTGTGTGTGTGAACAACTAAATGAGTGAAAGTGTCGATGTGTGAACAAATATGTTGAGTGAACATGTCTGCTTGTGTGAATCAATGAGTGAGTGAAAGTGTATGGATCTATAATTAAGTGAGAAAAAAATGAGTGTTTATGTGTATATATCAAACTTTATCAAACTTTAAACTTAACATTCTGTGATCTCAGTTTACGGTTCTTAATTTTAATTTATACAAAAGAGAAAAAAAAAAAAAAAAAAAAAAGCTGTTTTTGATGTTATTATTACCAATTACACTGTTTGGTATTATATTCGTTTTATCATTGTAATTATTTTTTGACTGTAACTTTTTTGCTGTATAATACTTTTCCTTCTTTCTGATTGTCACACTGTGTAAACAGTTAATGTAATGGTGCAAAAAAAAAAACAAAAATTTTTTTGTCTTTTTATCCACTTTGATAAATAACTTAATTTTTTCTACTCTTTTTTTTCTCTTTTTTTTTTTGTCACCATAAAAAACAAAGAAACAAAAAGAAAAAAAAGAACATTTGTAGGCAGTTAATTAGCA